TCATTAGCATTCTAAACAGTCATTCACTTCTTCCTTAGATTCATAGATCACATATAGAACATGCTGCAAACATCAACTTTACCTTTGAAAAAAGAAATTTTGTGCTAATCCTTAGTTTTTTTTTGGCAAGAAATGAATTAATAACCCCTCAGAGTAAATAATGTGCCTTTAGAATCTATTCTAATAAATCAAACAAAACTTTTTCAATAGATCATTTCCAAGTTTTTGCGGTTTAGTGATCCAGTGCCAAAATTATGGTGTGAGAAGGAGGCTAAGTACAAAGTCACTCTAATTAGTTTAAAGAATAAAGGGCTGTAGTAGTGATAACTAGTGAAAAATTCTTGAAATTCAATGGGGGAGAGTGAAAAATTATTTGTGAGAGAGAGACATTCAGATGGGTGATGATGGCAAAGGAATGAAAAAAGCAGAACTGTTAGATTTATCAATGAAAGCTACAGCAATGAAGTAGATGTAAACCAGAAAGAACTCAAACAAATATCAAATAAATGATACCCTCAAGGAAGTTGAAAATTTATTTGTGAAAATACTCAGTTTCTTAAGCCAAAGAGGAAAGGCCGTCTGAGTCTCCCATATACAAAGTTATGTATCTTCAACATGTCATATAGTGTTACATGTCTCTATATCATCACAAAGTACTTACCTCTGCAGTGAAATTAAAACCCCTCCTTTGCTAAACTTCTGCTCTGATTCACTCCACAAAAATATTTCCAAATAATTCCCTAAACGATAAATGAATAAAAATCAGTAGGGGAGTATAACAAGATAATTCGGATTTAATAACTAAGTTGATGTAAATTTGCCACTGTAAAGAGTTTCTAAGCTGACATTTCAAGCATTAGCCCTTCATCAGAGTGAAACTTGCTTTGACAAAGGGACAATGCTTGAAAACATTAGCTTAGAAACTTGTTGGCGGGCCAGTCTGGCTCCTGCCATTAATTTCACCCTTTGTAACAAATTACAGATAATATTAGATGCAGCTGGATTGTTCTAGATGAAGCAGGAGATCTAGCAATAGTATTAATTTTCTGCTGGTGTACATAGTTTCAATTGATAGTAACAGGGATGGGTAAACTAAATACACTTTCAAAATTTTTTCTATGATAATACCTATTACAAACACCCTTGTGTACTTAATATCATAGATTTTGGATGTATTATTTTAGCAAATTCTAAAACAATTGAAATGAATCTATGCCTCTAATATCACATGCCAAATTGTTCCATGTAAATGCTCCTCTAATTGAAAAGTTTCCGTAAATCATTCTTTAGATACAAAACGTATTTTTGATGTTAATCGTGTACCAGCAGCTAATTCATTCAACTCAGTTGATAAAACCAAGTTATCTTATTCTCTAAAAGAGATAAGTTACAAGGATAACAACAGGGATGGGTAAACATTAAGTATTTACTTTGTCTTCACTATAGTGTTGGACAGTTAATTTGGACAATTATGTACTCCAACATTAAAAGGAAACACACTGTCTCATAACTACATTTACTCTTGTAGCAACATTTAAGTCCTAAAACGTACAAATGTCAGCAAGTTAACACAGAGATTACAGTGATCATATAAGGGCTTAGCAATTTGAAGAGACATCTTCTGGATTTGATCTACTGGTCTCCCAACACATTAAGCATCGTTTGCTGTTGTGGCCAGGGGCAAAATGACTGCTGCTATTATACTAACAGACTTTCTGAGACTGTTTCATAAAAATCTCATAGAGATGGAAGTAATGCGAGTAGTTTTTTCATACGTTTTCAATCACTTACTGCAGCACATGCAATATATACAAGAATATAATAATCTGTCTAATTATAAAGTTTATTTTAATTGTATAACATACTACCGCCTTGCCCTGGATTCTTTACTTTGCACCTGAGGACAAGAATATTACCTCCACGAGTAACAAGGAACAAGTAGGTCTGTTAATCTCCATTAAAATCGCCAAACGCTGCCAAATAGCCATTGATTGCTGAAATATCAACTCGTTCGGTTACATCAATAATCGAGGAAGAAATCTGCCTCCACAAAAGAACCAACAACCCGAATGAGAAAGCGATGTTCATTTCAAAAAACCATTTCAGGAGCTTTCTACGAGGAAAATTAAGCATCCATAATCCTGAGAAATTATAAAACGATCACAAAATAAGAAAATTAACCAGAATGAACCAGAATTGGGAGAATTGATCAGAATTAGCGAGTTAATGTTTCCACGGTACCCTGTGATAGCTCTCCAGCGGCTTTCAGAAAACAGTTATTAAATTTATGTAACCATCTTGTCATGTCCACAACATGTGTGCCTACCAGTGAAGCGGAAGAAGATCATCAACATTGTGTATGGTCTCTAGAAGTCGTCCCTTTCTCAGAATATTTGAAATTCATTTTCTGTCATGAAAGATACCCTCTAACTGACGCTTAAACGTTTATAATACAGAGTAAGTTCGGTGATTTGGGTATGGCAACACTCTCAAGTGTAGCACGAGAACCCTGACAATTCGTTCCCAGAGGCGTTTATCCAACTTCTACTCATTTTTAGACGCTTTTCCTCTAAGCTATTGGCGTGAACCATGGACGAGTCGGAAAGAGAAGGAGAAGAGCACGTCTACGACTTCATTGGAAATGCATCAGATGAGAATTCAAACGAGATTGAAGGAGTGGAAAGAACATCTGCTGGAGAAGAAAGTTTGGAAACAGGAACTGATGAAGTAGATCAAGGTTTAGCTGCCTCGCCAACAGAGGACACTTTTGTTGAAAAAAAGAACATATTACTCAAACTCAGGGAGAAATTTCGACGTCGTAGATTTTCAGAAGATTCATTAGGTGAACATTTTGATTCTGAAGAAACAATTGAATCTTTGGCAGCGTATTCAAGCATCGAAGATAATGAATTACCCACGACTACGAGAAGACTTTCTTTGAAGCACAAAACGTTAAATTTTCCTGGCTTCGCAAAAGATCGCTATTTCAATACAACAGGGGCGAAACGTTCTCGATCAAAGTCGTTTTCTTTTCTAATGCAATCCAAGGAAATGAAGGCAAAAAGAAAGGAGGACATGTTTGCACGTAATGAACAAGCTGGTGACACCTGCAGCACATCCACCTGGCTGCATTGCGAGGCTGCACAGGGAGATCCGCTCATAGAATTAGCCCAGAAAAGAGCAGTTCCTCCCTCTCCTCCTCCCAGACCTGTACAATCACAATTTACTAGAATTAAACATAGCCAAATTGTAAAATCGTTGACATTATCGCTCGATGAACTAGACCCATGTAGTGGAGGAGTCCAGGGGGTGCCGACCATTGAAGGCGTAGAGAAGCAGTTGAATGCCAAGTGTCAGCAAACAGCAACTAAAATGAACTGCCAGCAATATTCTGTTCCACTAGCCAAATCTTTAGAGTCTCTTTCCCATTACAGCTGGTACTGGGGGCCCATAGACCAGTTTGAAGCTGAGGTTTTCTTGCAAGATAAACCTGATGGTTGCTTTTTGGTTAGGGACAGCTTCCATGAATTCCACTTGTACAGTGTAAGTTACAGGTGTAGAGGAAGAACCTGTCATACAAGGATTCGCTTCGGAAATGGAATATTTTATTTTTTTGCTCCTCCAGATGAAACAGGAACTAAAACAGTTGTAGGACTCATCAAGAAATCCATGAAAATGTCCCTAAAGGGGCCGATGTGTATTTCTAAGGCATCTAGTTTCCGAGGTTTTCCCGCTTTTCCCATTCGACTTACAACACCAGTTTCAAGGTTTGAGGAACTTCCCACTCTCCAACATCTTTGTAGGTTTGTTATTCGACAAAATTCTAGGCGCGATAAGCTCCATGAATTACCACTTCCATCCAAGATTATTAACTATCTGAATGTAGAAAACCATTTCCTGGAAAATGAAGGGAAAAAAAATTCATCCCACCTGTAAGTTCAAAAGTCTACTGGTTGTTAATGAACCAGTAGCTGTAATCTTGTTGTGCATGACTTACCTCTTGTTTTTGTGATCAGATCATAATTATCATTCTCCAATGCTTCCAGCTGTGATTGATTGCTGGCACTGAGTCAAAATTCTGGCCACAAAATTGGCAGAAAGAGTTGCTCATTTGGCTACCTATGTAATGGTTAGCCACACAGCAAGCTGTAACTGATCCCAAGCCAAAGTGAGTGTCAATTACCTGAAAATATTGACATATAATGTCAGTCAGCTACATGTAAGTCTCCAGGCTGTATTAAAGAGTGTGTCATTTTTTCTTGATTAAGTTCTCCAAATTGCATTTGAAAAATTTTGAGCTTGGAGCCCTGTTCTGATTTGTTTCCTACTTTCAAATTTCAATTAAATCTTAAAGATTTTTATATTTAGCTGACTGTCCAACTAGGCCATGGATGAAAACCTGCCATGCATTGTATACTCTATTTTAAAAATATCCAACCAACAAAACTGCAGGTGAAATACTTGTATGGAGGACAGACATTCTGAGCCTTTTACTTGTCAGTGAGAGTATTACAGGACAGATAATTATGACTAATACTATAACTTTGGTTAATTGAAGGCAAATATTATAATTTGCCATTTAGGCCCCATGTGTTTGCTCTGAAAACACAACAACAGTTGTTGAAGAAGAATCAAATGTTTCCCCTTCACATAAAGTGACATGAGCACTTTCGAAAACAAATATTGCTGGTTTCAAAATGTTATTTGCCGATAGATATATATGTATAGGTTTCAAACATAGCTGAATAACATCAAAGGTATGTGGTCAATAGGCCAGGTTTGAAATTAAGGGAAATTTGTGACAATATAATTAGGAGCTGGCATTTAAAACTGAGGCATTTTATTGTCATTGAAGGCATTTAACCGCCTCCTGGTTAGCTCAATTTGGTAGAGTGCCGGACTGTTGTGCGGGAGGTCGAGGGTTCAAGCCCCAGCTGGACCAACACTCAGGGTCTA